GGAACTCAGCTCTCCAGTGGTTCATTTGATATATCTCATGTACAGAGGAATATGAATGTTGATCTAGGCGATTGAAACATATCATACTTCTATTATTTTATAAGCAGTAACTGCATACAAGGACAACGGAATAAATTATAAAATGTATTCCAGTTCATAAAATTCACCAGCCTATTGCTGTGCCCAGGGTGACTATTAACAGCTACAGTTACTCCTGTGGAAAGCTGGGGAGCTGCATGTGACTAGTAATACATATATAATACAAAGTCTTTTCAGTAGATGCTCACAGCAACTTCAGTAAGGAACCATAGTTCCCCAATTCCCTTCCCTTCCTTTCTTCTCTTTATACTGTTAGACTCTGTCTTGGATGTGGTATGTTATGACTAATGGCATTTCAGTCAATTATTATTATAGCAATATAATATATCCAACCAATAGGGTTTCATAGTGTATATATCTGCAGTGTGAGATTGTGATTTTCTGCTGGCTTTCCAGAAATCACTGGTGATATGACTAATGTTAAAAGCTTTTTTTTGTATCTTTCCTTCTCCTTGTTTTAATGTAAACCCTCTGTGGAATGTGAGGCTCTGGTAATGACTCACTGGCCAATGAGGCAGCAATCTCAGAAATGGTAACGTGATACAGAAAAGGTCATGCACTTGCTTTCATAACAGGATTTTTCATTCATCTATTCATTAAAAATTAAACATGCATAGGACCATGTGATGCTTGCAAGTTGGCAAGTTTTGGTGAATACTTTCTTACATTTCTTAAGTCCTGGTCAGTTTGTGTGACATGAAGTTACTCCAATTGAGTCTTGTCTTTTAATGTAATTTCTACCTGAAGTCAATGAATTCTTCCTGTTGAAGACGAGTGCCATAAGGAGGCATATAGTGGTTCAGAATCGTGGCTATATCTTAATGGAGTGATGTTTGCTTTTTTGTTTTAAAGTCTTTGCAATGAGCTTATATTTAAAAGAAAAACATGAAGTTTTATATTATTTATCTCTCTTTACTTAAAAGTTGCTGATTTATTAACTGTGCTGTTAAAAGTTTGGATTTTTGTGGGTTTTTGCTTTAAGTGGAGTCAGGCAGAAAAATCAATGTGCTCCAAAGTCTTGTGACATAGCAACCTATTTCAGCCTGATAGCATTACTGTGGGGTTTTTTTGTTGATGTCCCATGCTAGAATGCAGCTAGGAAAGGATTGGTTTGTCAGAACTGAGTCTGGTAGTATGGAATTAAGTTAAAACAGCTGCAATGGGGCACACAGGGAGGCCTGTCTGGTCTAATCTGTGGCTCCCTTGGTCAGTATCAGATGCCTGTAAAAGAATCTAAAAATAGGGTGAGTATATAGTGGTAGACTGACTTGGGGTTGTCTTGAGTCAGAGGTGATATTTTTGAGGTTAATAGCTTTCAGCAGATTCCTTCTTAGCTGAATTTGCCTAATCATAGTAGGACTTCTGTTGGCTTCTGACATACACCTCAATGAGGCATGGAGTTTCACAGTCTGACAAAACAGTGTATGAAGAATTCCCTCCTATTGCTGATTCTGAATCTGTTGTTTGATAGCTTAATTTGATGCCACAACCAAACAAACAAAAAACAAGCCAACCAACCAAAAAAAACCCCACCCCAAAACAAAGCAAAAAAACCCCACCACAAACAGGTTTCATACACCTTTCACTTCTCAGTATGCCACTAATTTTATGGATCTCCAGCTTATCTCCACTCAGACAACTCTTTGCTAGGCTAAAAACATGTCTCAGTCTGTGCAGTTGTTTCATGTAAGGAATCTGTATGTGCTCTGGACCTTTCTTACTGCCCTTTTTTCATAGAATTTTTTAGGGTGGAAAAGACTTTTATGATCATCAAGTCCAACTGTTTAACCTAGCACTGCCAAATCCACCACTAAACCATGTCCCTAAGCACCTCATCCACATGTCTCTTCAATACCTCCAGGGATGGTGATTCCACCACCTCCCTGGGCAGCCTGTTCCAGGGCCTGACAGCCCTTTCAGTGAAGAGATTTCTCCTAATATCCAATCTAAACCTCCCCTGATGCAACTTGAGGCTGTTTCCTCTCATCCTATCACTTGTCACTGGGAGAAGAGACCAACCCCCACCTCTCAGTACCCTCCTCTCAGGCAGCTGTAGAGATTGATAAGGTCTCCCCTGAGCCTCCTCTTCTCCAGGCTGAACACCCCCAGCTCCCTCAGCCGCTCCTCACAGGACTTGTGCTCCAGACCCTTCCCCAGCTCTGCTGCCCTGCTCTGGACACACTCCAGCACCTCAGTGTCTGTCTTGTAGGGAGGGGAGCTTTTCTAGTTATAAGATGTTAAGACGAGAACTGGAACTACATGCAATATTCATAAAGTGGTTGTGCCATGAATTTATTCATTGGTGTAATTAGTCTTTCCATTTCTATAACTTTCATAATAATTGTCAATTTAGGACTTGTTTTCTTCCTCCCCATAATAATAAATTTCTCCCATTCTCACTTTTAGAACATTATTGACCTGATTTTAATTTTTGTTGATGTACAAATATACAAGTGACATGATAAACTAAGTAATAGCATCAGTTACTGTAAAAATTTGCAGATATAACCAACTCGTACTTGAAGTCATAAATTGGATGAGCATCAGAAAGAATTTAGAGCCTATTTACAATAGTATTCTAACTGATTTCTGTTGTTTGTGAGCTGGATAGCAACTCGGGTTGGTTTTCTAATCCAAATCTAGATGGAGCTGCATTGTACTAGCACATCAGCAGACATACAAGATTTCTACGTTTACTTTTCTTTAATTGCAGGTATTTATGAGCCGCCATTTCTTGTATTATTGTGGTGAACCTATTCTGGATGTGAAGATTGCCTTTTGTCAGGTGTGTGTTCCTTACAGGTAAAACAAGGTACAGTATATACTTGTACTTCATTTTTGCAGTTCATGCCATAATAAAAGAAAAAATAGAAATTAATTTCAGTAGTTTACTGTGAGTAAATAGTTATAAGAATGAGAGTAAATATTAAAAAAATAGAAGAATGCATCACAAAAATTACTTTTCTCTTTATTTTTAAGTCTGTTTTGTAGCTTGCTTTTAATGATTTTTAATTTTGTTTTGCTAAAATGTCAGTTAGTGTCCTGAAATTTTATTTTTTTTTTGATAAAAATAATAGCAGAGTTTGCAAACAGAAGAATGTTGGCTGTACTTCCAATACACTTAATGATGAATCAAAGAACAACATAACTGTACATGCACAGATGCTTTCACAGAAATATGCAAATTAATTTTATCTTCGCCTCTGTTTTAGTGAGACAGAGCCTTTTCAGTTGTAGTCTGTGACTAGAGTTTTCTGTCCCTTGGTCTACCTTTACTAGGAATGAAAGGAGGATCATTTTGACTTGTGGGGTTTGTCTTGTCTCCAGTTGAACAGCTGTTGCTATGCAGGTTCTGGAGTCATGAGACTGCACTATAGCTGCTTCTTTATTTCTAAATTGCTCTTGAAATTGTTTGGTGACAATGCTTGTAAGTATACAAGGCTGAAACTAACTTTGATATGAAGAAAGAAGTGTGTTGATTTGTCTAGTTTTTGGTTCTCTTGGTTAGGTAAAGTCTGTGCATGTTTTTCCATCATGAATGACTTCTGCTCACTTCTCAAGAGTGTTTTGTGTCTCACTTCTGTCTCTTCATAGTTTTTTTTAGTGAGGTGTGACACAAGTAATCTAACTAGCAGTGGAGACATTAGGGACGTTAATTTTCTTGAGAGGTGTGAACAATGCTGCAGTCTTAGAATTAGAATTATGTTAAACACTGGATTATTTCTATATATATTGCTTGTGATGTCCAAGTAAGTGAAAGTACAATTCTAAAAAAGAAAGGGCTATTACTTTTATGTAAATATTTAACACACAACAGTGACAGGTGTTGTGAGGTTTGGTTTGTGCTTTTTTTAACTCAGGAGTATGAAATACTTGTTCTGCTGAGAAGGTTGGCTCTGCACTTAGTAAATCATAGAATCATAGAATGGTTTGGGGTGGAAGGGACCTTAAAGACCATCCAGTTCCAACCCCCCTGCCATGGGCAGGGACACCTTCCACTAGACCAGGTTGCTCAAAGCCTCATCCAGCCTGGCCTTGAACACTTCCAGGGATGGGGCATCCACAGCTTCTCTGGGCAACCTGTTCCAGTGCCTCACCACCCCCTCTGTGAAGAACTTCTTCCTGATATCTAATCTAAATCTCCCCACTTTCAATTTAAACCCGTTACCCCTTGTCCTGTCACTACAGGCCTTTGTAAAATGTCCCCCTCCAGCTTTCTTGTAGTCCCCCTAGGTATTGGAAGGCTGCTGTATCATCAGCTCTAGGATGGATCTTGGCTATTCACTTTGGTAAACCGTTTAAATGTCTTTGTCCTTTCTTTATCTCCAGTTCCTCGTATGCATATATTTATCTAACTGGCTTAATTCTTCAACTCTTCTTGAGAGAAGAAAGGATTTTGTAAACCATGGGGGTTTTGTAATCTTTTTGACAGAGTTAGCTTGCACAAAAAAAGAAATTAAAAAAATGAAAAAAGAGGGTTTTGCCTCAGAGTGCATGAAGATGATGTTATTGATGAAGAAGTTACTTTCACTGTGCGGATTACAGTCTTTTGCACAGCTCTGTTTGCCAAATTTCCTATCCCTTTTTCTTAGACCAAAGCAGAGCTGTACAGAATCATTTCTGGTTTACACCTGCAGAGGAAAGGTACTCTTAATCGCTTCCTTGTGTGTTCATTTCTCCTTTAGTCTTGGCATCAATCACTGCATGACCACCTACAGACAGTGCTTTCTGTCACTGCACTCTGGCTTTGTGATTCAGTGGAAACATGCTACTGTAATTCTTTTGCTGTTACCCTAACAATAAAAGGTGTTCAGAGGCACATATAAAACCAAACATATTTACAGTGGTTTTGTCAATGCATATATGATGAAATCAACAGCATTTTGGATGAGTTTTTGTCACTGAATGCAACTGAATGATGTTTAACATATTTGAGTACAGTAGGTACCTGAAGAGAAGTAATCCAGAAAATACTACAAGAGCTGCTATCCTGACATTGCAGGAAATAGGATTCTATCCCTCAAGCACTTATCACACAAATACCTTTTCAAGGTCTTCAGATTTGTTCTGCTGAGGATAAAAGCTGCTTCAGGCTTCATGTTAATTATTCTCTTCATAAAGATAGGGCCTGATGCAAATAACAGTTAAGCACATAGTTAGCATTAAGTACAAGCACCGTCTCTAAATTAAGTGCTTTGTTGCATTAAGACCTTAGCTGTCATGGATGCTGTTCATAAGTATTGCAAAGGGAGGTATGTAGGTTATATCTGTATCCTGGTAATACTTGGTCCACATATCCAGATCTTTATTTAGGCACTATTCAACAGTCTCCAGGTAGTAATATTGTTTAGTTTGTGCTTATTCATAATGCCAGTGTAGAAATGAAATGCTCTGTGATTTACTAGTACTTCTGCTCTAAGTGCAAAGTTCATTTGTACGTTTGGGAAACCTCTGTCTGCTGAATCGGTACGTCTGAGAGGTTCAGGAACTACTGTTAATAAAAGATGATGATGTGACAGCAGAACGCCACTCGCATCTTGAGGTGTGTGCCACTGACAAGGATCCCAGCAATATCTAGAAAAGAGACCACAAAAATGTAGTTTCCATTGAATATAAGTCAACCCAGTATTTTTTCCATGTGGTTCAACAAATGCAAAAATTACTTCTACTATATGAGCATGCAACAGATATCGGGGAAAAAAATTCACTGTGGTATAGTTTGATCTTGCCCTGTTGGCCTGTTAAAATGAGAGCCTCTAGTGATGGTGTACTACAATATACAATCTATCCAATGGGCTATTATAATTTTCTGACTCAGGTTTATCACTGAGAAGTCCTGCTCCCATTTTTGCAGACTTTCTACAAAATACAGAGTTGTGCTGAAGTGCCTTTTATAAAAAGTACAATATTAAATAGTACTCCAAAGATTGTTGGTACTGTGGACTTATTATTCTTGTAATAAATATTTTGTGGTGATTCCTCTCCTGTGGTCTAAAAGGCAGAGCTTTATGTGCTATGCCAGAAAGTGACATGTACGTAATTATAGGCTGTCCTTCTTGGCACAGACCTTATGTCATTGAGTGTAAAAGTTTTGTGTGATGAAAATGCTAAGTCATTGGGAATAGAATCTTAAGGATTTCCAGCTTAAGAAAAAACAGAAAAGCCTTTCCTGAGAGATACCCAGTAGCATAAGTGGGGCACATATTCCTTTTCTCCACCCCACACCCCATTTGTAGTACAAAAATACCTAAGTCTGGCATTACTGTACATTGCTAGCCAAATAGTTCTGAAACAGCCATAATTTTTAAGCCTGAGGAATAGAACATCTCCTTTTCTGTCATAATAGAAAGACAGGACAAGAAGATTTCTGGTTTTTGGGCTTATAGAATTTCATTAGGCTTTTGTAAGGCTGATATCACTACCATGTTTTATCTGTAGGATGCTACACATAATTATTGAAATACAGTGTAATGCAGAGTACTATGTTCTGAGTAGAATAGGACATTTACGTTTAAGTGCTTTATAACAGCTAACAATGTCTAAAGGATACTGACTGCTTCATTCATATTTTCCTTCCTGTAGTTTTTTCCTTTCTTTGAATTAACATCAAGATGTGTATAGCCTATCAGAATTTTCAGGTTTTCTGAACTGTAGCTGCATAAGATACCTTTATTTAGAATACAAATTATTTTTGGAAAAAAAATTTTCTTTTCACTTGGAGCAGTAGTCCTGAATTTTCTTGTCTGTGAAAAACATGTCATTATTATTACATTTGTATGACACAGTATGTCCAGAGTGATACAACAATTAATTATTTTTTTTAACAGGAAAGCAGGGCACAGGATTACTGAATTGAGATATCGAGGACCTGGCCACACATATTAGCAAAATGTTTAGTGTGAATCAGGAACGTAAATTCACATGCTTATTCTTTGGTGTGGCATCATCACTAGTCTTTATTGCCTAGTTTAAACAAGTTCATGTCCCAGATAGTGTGTCAGCATTTTTGCATACTGAAATTGGAATTGGTGCTGAACTGATGCCGCCAAAAGAAAACCTTAGAATGAATTTTAGTTGCATGTCGAGAGTATTTTCCCAAGCTTCTATTCAATTTGTGCTTTTAAAACCCAAACCAAAAAGATTTTAAAACCTTTACTTTCTCTCTAGATGTCTTTTTTTCTCCAGTATTCTGTTAACTTGCTTTATTTCCAGTTATGCTTACCTGTCTTGAGGAAAACATGTATAGACTTCCTAGATGCATTATTGCATCAATGACCTTTTAAAAATCACATGATTTCAGAAAACTTTTCATTTTAGACACAGAAAAGACTGGCTTTATTAATTGCATTGCTCTTCATCAATTGGTTGACTCATCTCATCTTGGTTTTAATTTTATCCTAAATTTGATAAACCACTTTAGTTACAACTAATGCTTTAATCAGATGGGATGGAGTTACTGCTTGACCATTAAAGGAACTGTCTTGAAGCAGAAAGTCCTATAATTATGCCTTCCATGCAATGAGAGGTTAATTGGTATTCATAAGCCATCAACAGGCAGTGACCTATATCTTAGATTTCTAGGACTAAATTGATACTTCCTAGTTTCAAGTCGTATATTTCTAACCAAAGGTGTGATTAAATTCTTTAACTCTTTAAAGTCTTCACTTATAAAAGGGAGAATCTTGTCATTAGCTATTGTCTTCACAGTGAATACTGTAATTATATCATTATCTTGAGAAAATTAATTTTTTTAATACTTTTTCTGTAATGTTGTTAGTGCTTTTT